GCGTCCCGGCTCCCAAAGCGGAACATTCCGCGTTCGCAAAGCGCGCAAATGAAATTGGAAATTGTGCTGGCAAGCGAAAAGAAAATATGAGCAGTCGGTGCAGAGACGGATGATGGTCCCAAAATGGCTAGTAAAATGAAAAATAGTCAAGCAGCAGCAGCAGCACAAACAATTTGAGCGTCCATCGATACCGGCGACCGTTTGAAAAATAATTTTTATGCGTTTATGGTTTATGTGGGGCCTCAAAGCCCAGCCCAAGCCCAAAGACCAAAACGCGCGTATGAATAACGATCCCAAATATCCCAGACCCTGCCATACGACCCCCAACAAAATGTAAGCGGGGTTTTTGTGGCGCCCACAAGCAATTTATTGCCGCTTCGTCGCACGCCAAATGAATATTGGACCAAACCAAAAAGCGGGGCGGATTTCGCCGCCAACTATTTGATTTTGGTCTCCAGCGTATTGCCAATATTTGTATTTCGCATTTGTGTTTGTATTTGATGCCGTCGTTGCCAACAAGAAAGCGAAACTCAAAGTATCGTTTTCAATTTGACACTCGTACCAGCAATACAATTTAGAGATATCGGGATACACGCAGTGGATAACAACGCTGTTGACTAAAAAGTTCACACCATTAAAAATGTTTATATTTCTTGCTGCTCAGCGATGTATAAACATTTTGGCGGGCCGGCAGACAAGTCATTTCAGAAAGCTAATCATAAACAAAAGCTTAAATGTTATTCCGAAAGACAAATAAACCATATACGCGAGTGCAGCAATAATAAACAGCCAACAGCAAAGACAATGCAGCTCAGCGTGCACTGCTCCAAAACATTTTGGGACACAAAGCACTTCGGAGCTCGAAGCCAACACAATGCTGTGAACGGTAATAAAGTTACAGTAGTCGCTCGCTAATTAAAATGCTTTTAATTCTAATTACTAGAAGCTCAACTTTCCCACATGAAAATATCAACATTTTTGTCAAACAAATCCAATTCTATATTTTCTAGAATCCTTTCATAATTGTAGATTAACAAGAGCTAGACTAAAATACAAAATATATATAAAATATGAAATAAATAATTCATATCCGAGAGACCACTGTAATATCTGCAAGATGAGCAATCATCATCGAGCAGTGGGGCTGTGTGGTTGAGGAGTTAGAGGTTTTGGGGGTGAGAGGATGCACCAAAGTTGACATTAAACAAACAGAACATATTATTGAAAACGTATTCAATGAGAGAGAAGAACGAATGATGCCCAATATTGAATTGTGCACACGCTGTGGCACTCCATGCTGCACAAAGACAAGAGCTCAGTCCGCTGGTCGTCTGTCGAGCAGACAGCGTGTCTATCAATTGCAATTGGGAACTGGGTTTAGGGAACAGTATTCGCTGCTGCTGTTGACACAAGTCCGCACACACACACACACACACACCGGGCAGGAACTAATTTGGCCGAAGTCGAGTGAGAGAGTCTGAAACTGAAATCTAAACATCTGCAAAATTACGCGCATAAATCCTTTAACACTTTTGTTTTTACAGTTCGGAGGCTGCTGGACTTGGGGGTTGTTGCAACGTTGCCATGCAGGGGCTCGTCAAATTAGCCCACTTCAGGCTGTGGCATGCAGCGTGCTCATAGCGGGTGCAACTCCAGCAATAGCTCCTTATTTCCTCAGCCTCAGCCTTTGTTGTTTACACACTTCACATTGCCTGGCAGTGTCCTTTTTTTCATCTTCTCATTTTTGCCTGCCCAACTCTCAGCACGCGTTGTACTCCTCCACCCCTGCTCCCACTCGATATATCTCTACTTCTTTGCAGCTGCATTGTTGTAGCTGTTGTAGTTGTAGTTGTTGTTGCGGTTGTTGTTATTGTTGCCAAGACGCTGGCTGGCTATATATAAATATAAAAATAACTTGGCCTACGCCTGCGGAGTGGGTCATGCGTCTTGGCAAAACAAACAAAGCAAATGACACCCACCCAAACCATCGAGGCCACAACGCTCTCTTCTTCTACTTGAGTGCTCATCAATGGGCAAATGCGAATGTGAAACGGGAATGAATTGTTGCCCAGGTCGTTGGTACATTGCTCACTCCTAATGACCCCTATCCCTATCCCTATCCCTTTATCGATGAGTCTATGGCTCTGCTCTGTGTGTGCTGCTTGATTTCACACACAAAACGCCACAAGGTGGTCCCTTTAACACTCAGAGAAATAGTTGTTTTTTTAAATGTTTTCTAAATTCACATAAGATGAATTTATTAAAATAAGTAAGAGACCTTCTAATATCTAAAAAAAAAAAGAAAATTGTTGGCACATTTTAATCTTATTTTATTTGTTCTGATCCAACTTATTTTCTCTGCGTGTATACTTTAAACTCGAGACATTGTGAAGCAGTCTTGTGTGGCTTGCCAATGGTTTTGGTTTTATTTTATTTTTTTACCACTTTTCACTTTCCAACTTCTGGATTGGCTGGGCTGTTTACTTGTTCTTTATGCCTCTTTAGCGCTTATCATGCTCAAATGATAATTGAAGTGCCACACAAAAACTATTTATCCTCGGGCTGTCGAGCGTACTACTCTGGTTGCTCTGTTGTTGTTGCTGTTGTGGTTATTCAATATTACTCAGCTCACAATGCAACCTTTCGCACAGACATACACATAAATACAAACAATGCGTGCAGTGAAGCCACTGCTACCCTTTCCGTTTTTTGTTTTTAGATATTTTATTAAATTTGTTTCTAGTACACAAACATTTTGCTTAGGCACAGGCAATCCTGTTCCGGTCCAGTTCGGTGACATTTTCCACTCTATGCGCATTGTTAACATGATTTCATTACTTCTGTCGCAGTTGCTGTTGTTGCTGTTGCTGTTGCTGTTGATGTTGTCATTACTTTTTACCTATTAATAAGTGGTTGACGTAGGGAGTCAGCAAATGTATTCAGCCTGGATATCAGTCGACTGTTACCAAGGCTAATTGAATTGTCGCTGATTCGTATCTCTTTCAGATATGGGACATCAAAATGTATACATATATACATATATATATATATATTTATATGTATGCATATGAATTGTAGTCGCCTAATCTTTATGGTGGCTCGTAAATAATAATTTGCAGCTTTTGTTACGGCCACGGTAAACTGGTGGGTTTAGTCCCTGGGTCCCACTTGGTTCGAGTTGGCTTAATTATACACCCGCCCCCGAAATAGTAGTGATTATGGGCTATAAAACTTCACATTTTGTGATGGACTTTGAGCAAATGACTATATAAGACTTATGTGTATATATATATAAATAGATATGAGGCGAATAAAGCTGTACGAAAAATCCAAATCCAATGACCGATGCGTATTTGCTCAAGGACAAAAGTTTATATTTTTAAGATATCTTACTTTGATTTAAAACAAGCCACATTAAATGAATCTGTTTTTCATGATGTGGAAAACCCTTGTACAACTTTGCCAAGCACTCGGTCTTTTCGAGTACGCCATCAAACTGTGCGAATTCCTTACACAATGGGATAACTGATATAAACCATGTTTAGCCGTAAACGGCAGCCGGAATCATTGGCATCAACAGTTTCTTGGCACACACACAGCAGTTACAACAACAACAACAACAGCAACAGCGACAAAAGCAACAACAGCGACAAGAACAACACAAGTTAAGTTTTGTGCAAAATCGCCGTGAAGCTTAAGCCCCAGTATTAAGCCAATAGCCAACTAGAAGTTGCCAAAAGCACAAGACAAAAGAAGAAAGCCAGAAACAGCATTCAGCGAAAGCCAAAGCCAAAGCCAAGGCAAAGGCAAAGGCAGATGCTGAAGCTGAAGCTGAAACAGCAGCTGAGGCAGCAGCAGCAGCAGCAAAAGGAACTGAAGTAGCGCCAAACTTTTATGCACAGCGCCATGTTTGGTTTGTCTTGCCAGCTTCCGTCTTCCCCTTTTATGTTGCACGCCTCACGTAAGCTGTATGTTTAGGTGTGTGTGTGTGTGTGTGTGCGTTTTTGTGTTTGTGTGTGTTTAAGTGGGTGAGCAAGTGCGACAGTACGGGTCTGGTTGACGGTTCGACTTGGTTGCATTTTTACAATATACAGGGTGTCACTGCCCAATGTCACTGCGCTGTGGCTGGCCTTTTCGGCAAGTGCAACACCCTGTGGCAGCTGTAGCTGCTGCTGTTGTCCAACTTGTGCGGCTACCGAATAAAAAAAATAGTTGTAAGCAAAATGCAAAAAACGACAAGGCCACCGTTAGCAGCATGTATTTTTGGTCCACTCAAAGCCAGCAACGACCGCAAAAAAAAGCCCATAAGAAATGGCCACTGCACCATGCAACAAATACAAAAAACTTGCCACGACACTCAGTATGTCTTTGTGTGCACCACCAAACCACCCGAACTTTGCTTCAAATTTATGCCAAGACGTTAACTAAAAAAAAAATAAACAGAAAACAATGAAAAATTCAAGTCAAGTCCGATTCCCCTGCGAAAGGGCTTTTTGCGGCATGCGCATCACGCAAAAAATGGTTGCCGGGGAAGCGATCGACCAATCAGAGCGTCGCTGAGGTGTGGCCTCTGTGAGCGGAGGGAAATTTGCGCATGAGTAAATTTCCCTTTACGCTGCTAATAATCACTTGAGACATGCGCCGTTAAGCGTCGAGCAAAAGGGGCACACAGGGTTTGGGGGTTGGACATTGGCTGTTGCCGTTTTGTTGCATGCAACCCTCTACGCTATGCCTGCTGCCTGCAACGGGAAATTCTCCGAGTTGTTGTTGCCGTTGCTTTTGTAAACATGCGCAGGCGCACTGCGCACAAATCAAACGCTGTGTGTGTGTGTGTGTGTGTGCGTGGGTACATTTAATCTTGGGACTTTTTGGGCAGGCGACAGTCGGCAACGAGCAGCAGGCAAAGTGAAATGCTTTGATTTCGCTGATTGTTCGATCACACGCAAACTGACAGCGGACTCAGCTGGTTGTCAGCGCGCTTGGCAAATCGAAAATATAACAAAACATTTGAAACATTCAGTCAACAACTCGTGCAAGTTTTCGTAGTTCACAACATTTTGGTTTTATACGTGTGTGTTTTTAAAGAACGCAGCAAAACTTAAACGACAATTGGTAACAATTTAAAAAAAAAGAACCAAATACAGAAGAAAAACAAAAAGGAAAACTGTGCCCGCGTTTTTTATTTGTGTCAATACAATGTTGGAGTTTTATCCAATGCCCACGAATCTGAATCAGGTCGGTGGCAGTTTGTATTCGCTGCAGCAGAATCATGGCGGTGCACGATTCCTGGACAGTCCGAGTGTAAACAGCAACATGACAACTGCCTGTTTGGCCAACAACAACAACAACAACACCAGCAACAGCAACAACAATAATGTACATAACAACAGCAACAACAATTTGGCAGCAAGCATTTCCGGCAGCAGCAGCAGCAGCCAGCATTCAACAGCAACAGCTTCATTAACGGCAACCGTAATTTCCTCTCAGCATCAACAACAACAACAGCAACACCAACACGCTGTCTCTCCAACACCAATTAACAGCTGCCCAACGCCCACAGGTCACAGTCCCAGCAGCAGCAACAGCAGCAGCAGCAACAACAACAGCAACAACAACAACAACAATAATAATAACAAGAGCCAAAACTCCGCCTGCAACACATTAACAGCTGCTTCTGCTGCTGCTACCGCAACAACAGCAACTGGAGCCGGCACAACAACAACATCAGCAGCAGCAGCAGCATCAGCAGCAGCAGCAGCAACAGCAGCAGCCACGGCAGCGGCAGTGACGGCGTCGACGTTGACGCTGGCATCAGCATCGAAATTGTCTGCTGATTGCAGTGGACGCACAGGTATGTTCCAAAAGTATTTTGCACCGGCAGTTGAGGCATTTACCGGGCTCGTTCCGCTTCCGTTTTCCTGGGGGCTTCCCCGTTTTTCGTTTTTGGCATAGTTGTGTGTGCGTCTGGCGTGTGGGTCTCTCTGCCAGCACTTCGCTGGTTGGGTGGAGATTGGTGTGTGGGGCGGAGGGGGCTGATATGCGTCCGTGTTTTACTGACGGCTAGTTTGCATCGCTGCTGTTGCCATTGCCCCCTCAAAGTTGGCCCAAATTATTTTCGCAATTTGCGTGTGATATTCTAGGTTTTGGGGCCGGTCTTTACATTTGCTGCCGCTGATGTGGCAAGCAGCTTGTAGCTTTAATTCATTTTCGAAGCGACTGTTAAGTTCATCAAATGATTTCTGATTTTGGATTGATTGGACTTTTTGTAACGTTCTGTTATATTTGATTAATCTCTTAAAAGTGGTATTTTTTATAGAAGTTCATGTTTTTCAAGAATATTCAAAAATTACAAATATAAAAAATACAACCTTTTTATCAGTCTTATTAAAAGTGTGGCTCGCAAATGGGGTTTCCAATTAATATAATTATTTAACTAAAGGACACTTATATGTACTATTTTATTTAAAATGTGAATCCATATTATTTTCTTTTATTTGTAAGAAAGCAACAAAAAAAATGATCTTATTTATGGATACTAAATCGAAAGACTTATGCGAGTCGTCAGAGAGTAGAAGCTATGTGTCTGAAAATATCTGAGCCACATTCTAAGCATCAACTGTGCCTTATATAATATTCTTTATTTAAGTTGTTAAACCAATATTTGTTCGGATATTTGTTCGTGTAGATAATAATTTGTAGGTTAATAAGTTAATGTACATGCATCAACAATTAAATTCGCATCGAAGCGATTGCACAAGTCAAACTTGGTGCCAGAAAATGGAATAATAGCATTTAATTGATATGCAAAGCGAATAGTCGTATAATAAATCATAGAGCAATGAAAATTTAATTTTCAGGGGGCTGTCCGACGGCAGAAGTATTGCCAAAAGAATGAACACAAGTTGACCACAAAATAATTTTGACAATGAAGCTGACTGAAGCTCAATGTATGTATATATGTGCAACCAATAAAAGGCGATTAAGGCATGCAACAGACTCTCACGCACAACACACACACACGCACACACACCCACATGCCCGCCCGAAAGTAGGCAGCACTTTTTAGCAGCTTGCAACAACGAAAGTGTTGCTGGCAAACTTTACGAAATTCTGGGCAAAATGCAAAGTGTGCAAACAATGTGTGTGATGCATATGCGAACCCGGACCCCAAACTGGGCGAAACTCTCTCAAGCACGCAAATATTTCGAAACACACACACACACATTGGAGAGAACCCAACATTTGTGCTTTATGCTCTTATTTACATATGAAATGTCTATTAATTCTTGGGCTGCAGCCATTGCCATTGCTAAAATGGCAGCAAATAGTTTCCGTTTTCCAATCACTTTACTGCCAGCAGACTTGAGAGCATTGCTCATCTATGGATTTGAATTTGAATTTGACGCCAACAACCAAAACCAAAAACCCAAAACCCAAAACTCAAAAGCCAAAACCAACTGCAACAGCAGCTGCAATTGGGAAGAGGAATTTCAAGGCATTTGTGGCTGGCTCAGCACACAGACCTGCAGTTTGGCGACCCGACCTCGGAAATGAACACACTCAACACCCCAATAGCTCTTAAAGCCCCTCATCCCCCTAATCCCACACAGACTCCGTGTCAGATATGCGCCGTGTGTCAGCATATCTGGTTTTTGTGGTACCTACGGTTTGCTCTCCTTCTGCAGTAGGAGGAGTAGTAGAAAATGTTTAGCTAGTACAGTGATTACTCTTAAATGAGAATGATGAGCTTAGAGGGGTTTGTGGTAGAATACCTCGTTGTTTGTTAGTTCTATATAAATAAAATTCACCTCTAAAAGCTTAATTTCAATAGAATTTTGTGTAGACGATCTTATACATCGATCGAAAAGGAAAACCAAACGGCATCAATATGAAGGTCATATAAAGGTCCTTGTGGTAGATGATTTAAGGTTAAATATAGATCGGAAACAATTCTTCAACTTGATAAAGAGATTTCCACTTTTGGTAAATTCGGTCCTCGTTTGCCAGCGAACACTGTGTACAGTGACAGTGACAGCTAAAACTATGTGCACACATACACATACGTATCCTGTACATATGTGACACTTGCATAGCATTTGTCACTCTCGCTTCAGTGGGTGGCTGAGTGCTTTAAATTGCGTTCGCCAGAGTAATTAAAGCCATCGTATCAAGGAGCTGTCACACAGGCTGTCTGGCGCAAAAAAATCTCCGTGCCACGCGGACTAAGTTTATTTGTATGAGACTTGAGCCCAAAATAAATGCCACAACTTTTGGCTGCCTGTCAATTTATCATCATAGACCTGCGCTTGCCTGTCAATGTGTCAATAAGTGCGCCATAAAGCGTGGGATGGGGGTTGGATTGGAATGGGTTGGGTTGGGTTAGAGCTGCCCCTAATCAGAGACGCCGTGTGCCGATAAGCGCTGATAACGATAACGCACATTGGGTGCTGTTGTCTATTAACTGTTTGTATTTTATTTTTATAGTACTATGTGCGTTTATCAACGTTGTTGATTTTGGAATTATCTGCTGTTTAATCGCCACAATTTGACATGAGTGTGCCGCACTTGTTTTAGCTATGTTTGTGTTTGTATTTTTTGCTGTTCGCTTTCCGACAAGTTTTCTGATCAAGGCGACTCGTAATCAATCAGCAGCCAACCGCCAGGCTTCTGTTGCGCTTCCAATTGAATGCGAACAACGCAACTACATAACACATATCAAATGTATCAAATACATTTGTCTATCACATTTCGCTAATGCGTCAAAATATCCTTTAGCTGCAGCAGAGCAGAAAAAAAACTCTGAACATTTCTTCATAAAACTGCAACAAAAGGCCATAAATTTCGATTAGATTACACAAAGCCCAATGTCAATGGATAGCAGGCGCACAAAAAAAAACATAAAGAAAGAAAAGAAAGCTACCACAATATCGCATTCACACTGTGCACACTGAAATAGCGGAGTGTTGCCAATTCAAAGCAGGACTTATCAAATGATCCTTTTGCCAAACCCCAAACCTGCCTAAAACTGCCACAAAGCAATATTTTTCGCGTTATCACGAATGTGATTGGATATGCACACACACACAGAGAGAGACACACACGCACACACACACAGACACACACACACACATACACACGTACACAGGCAGGCAGCTTGCATTGCAGCTGTTTTTGTAGCATACTTTTTGGGGCCCCTGCTCGCTTGTAGCAAACGAAATGTGAACAGCAATTTCTCTCATCCATCGTCATTGCTATATCTGCTTTCCAGCTCCTGTTGTCAACTTTACAGTACGCTGGCTTAGCGCACAAAACATGGAGCAGCCCCCAATCCTTGGGGGTAAGTCCAACACTGCCACATTTCTGCATGGGGTTTATGCTGTGTTCGCTGCTCACTTAGCTCCCGCACATAAATACACATACATCTACATAGATCAAGAGCTGGGAAGGTGGGTGGGCGGGTGGAGCAGGGTGCTCTGCCATTGTGCCAACCATAAATCATGCACATTTTTCTGCCAGTGAGTCATATAATATGAGAGTTGCCTCGTCCTTCCGTTCATTTTTCAGTTTAGCTTCCAACCAATTCTCATGGCGCTCGTCATACACGTATATATTTTTTATGTTTACTGCAGCTTTCGTTGTGTTTTTTCAGCTTTTTCTGCTGTGTTTCTTTTTTAGGTACCACTTTTTATGACTGGTTTACGGTTTGAAGTGTGTGCGTGCATGGGAACAGATTAGTCGAGTCACTCAAATTCAAAAAATGTATATATTTCACTAGTTCTCTATGCGTGTATTTAAAGAAAAGTTAAGGATATCTGTACTTAATCCTACACTTGAAATGTGCTTCATTTACTCGAAGCTTTAATTATCTTAACAAATGCAGACTGTATTTATTATCATGGTTTATTCAACTACTTATATCTTGGGAGATGTGGAAGAGGGGCTCTCAGTGGATATTTTGGATTGAAAGTGTGCATCGATTGCCGTATTTTGGCTCATCAATATCCGAGTGGGAAACAGTGTAGCCAACTTTACGTTTCAATTACGCATCAAGGAGCTATCAATACAAGCTGTTACAGCCGCCGACGGAGACAGATAATTTTTTTTGCCTTTGTTTCGAAACACTTTTGACTGCCAGAAGTGCGAAACAATGAGCATAAGCACAAAAAAAAACACAGTGTGGGGATGGCGAGGGGGGGAGGTTGCAAGAAACATTTTCACACGATTTGACAACGTACTCGTCTGCGTGTCCTGCGTGTGCAACTGCTCCTTCTCCTGCCCCATGCCTGATGTCCTCTAGCAACATATGCCAGCTGCCAGCACGTAAGGGGATCAGTTTTTTTTCTTCTCGTATTCCTTCTGTATTTTTTATTTTTTTTTTTGTTTACAGTGGGATTTTAAGTCGATTTGATGGTTAATTTTTGTCATTGCTATTTTGACTGCTTGCAGAAGTCGGTCACATCAAGTGCGAGAAGAACTACGAGCTGTGCGAAGGATGCGGCCAGAAAATCCACGATCGTTATCTGATGAATGTGGGCGATGCCAATTGGCACGAGCAGTGTTTGGCCTGCTGCTACTGTGGATTGCAGTTGCATCACACCTGCTATGTGCGCAACTCGAAGCTCTACTGTAAGCAGGACTACGATCGCCTCTTTGGTGTCAAGTGCGCCGCCTGCTGTCATGCGATCCTGCCGCAGGAGCTGGTGATGCGTCCCATATCCAACTATGTATTCCATCTGCCCTGCTTCGTTTGCTATGCCTGCCGGCTGCCCCTCCAGAAGGGGGAGCAGTTTATGCTGCGCGACGGACAACTCTTCTGCTATCGCCATGATTTGGAAAAGGAGATGTTTCTGGCGGCGGCTGCTGCCCAGCATTGCGGATTTGTTGGCCTCGATGAGGAGGATCTGCTGCGGCCAAGGGATGGCAGACGTGGACCCAAACGACCACGCACAATTCTCACCTCGCAGCAGCGCAAGCAGTTCAAGGCCTCCTTTGACCAGTCACCCAAACCGTGTCGCAAGGTGCGCGAGGCACTGGCCAAGGACACTGGGCTGTCGGTGCGTGTGGTGCAAGTTTGGTTCCAGAACCAACGGGCCAAGATGAAGAAGATACAGCGCAAGGCGAAACAGAATGGAGGCGGTACGGGTGGAACTGGCAATGGGCGTGGCAACAGCAATGCAAACGCCTCCGATGACAAGGACTCGAGTGAGAAAGAGGAGAAGTGCGTCAAACAGGAGCATGGCGTCGACAATGTGAACTTCCTGAGTGGCATGGATAGCGCCTTTGCCAGTCAGCCACTTAATCCAAACTTGCCCTTTTCTCCGGATGGTGCGTATATCCCAATAAAATTATTCTGTAACAGTGATCGCTTGAAATCAACTCTGAACGACCACTTTACTTACATTCTTATTCAATCCAACCAATCTCAATTTTTTTCGCCCAGCAGATTATCCGGCCAATTCGAATGACAGTTTCTGCAGTTCCGATCTCTCGCTGGATGGCAGTAATTTCGATCAGCTGGATGACGATGCCGATTCCCTGTCGCTGAATAATCTGGAGCTGCAGTCGACCAGTTCGTCGGGACATCACAATCAGCACTCGAATCCGCACGATATGCTGGCCAATCTGAATACGAGCCTTATCAATCCCATCGACAAGCTGTATCTCATGCAGAACTCCTACTTCAGCTCCGATCACTAGAGAGAGAAAGAGAGAGAGAGAAGTTGGGAGTGAGAGAGGGAGAGAGAGTCGTAGTCATACGAATTTATTAGCGTTAGAGTTGCTGGCTTTAGTTGGGAGCGCAACTGCTGCTAGGCACTGTAACTCCTTGGGCTTTGCAACTAAGTAATTACCATTACCAGCCAATCGGCTTTTTGGCAAAGTTGAGATTTTAAGGAAAACCAAAAATAAAAAGTAATAAAAAATGAAAAGTTATCAATTGTGATTTTTAAGCTAAACGAAGTTTTAAGAACAAATTGCATTACAGCGATATAAACGAGACGTAATGCATAAATTATTGTTAGTTCGAAGATAAGTACATAAGTAGTAGAAGCCAAAAGATGAAATCAATGTGAGCCTATGTTTGTAAATAGTCTTAGTACCAAAAATTGTTATAAAAATGTAATTTAAATTAAAACGTCAATAAATTATGTATTAGCAAGTGCAATTAAACCTTCTTGTTATTAATATATACCAAGGAATCCTACAGAGCTATCAGAGACTTCATACATTTATAATTTCGTCAACCGGCAACTTCTAAAAAATGGGGAATTTATTAATTTCCACAAAATCCATTATTGTTTGAATTGTCGCGCTCAATTTAAATCCCAATTCACTGGCGCCATCTCTTGCCGAGCGTAGTTTTTTAGTTACTCTCAGCCAAGTCTAGCTGCCAATAGATGGCGCATCAATGTTCTGCACTACATTGTGGTGGTCGGTCGATAAGTGATGTGCACAGTAACTTGATGGATAAGTCGTCGTAATATTTTTTTTAATCTTATGCCGATTTATGTTGCACAAAAACATGGCATTGCAATTACAATTTCTGCGCACTGTAAATAACATTTTATCGAAGTTAATGGATTTTGGGTGCCCACAGCTGTATCAATCAGTGTTGATAAACTCGCCAAAACAACTGGGCAAGAAGAAGAGCCAGTAGCGTTGATAAACAATATAAAACAATTAAATTTGCGATGGTAGGCGTGAAATAAACATCAATAATAATAATAAACAAGTACATTCATTCTACTTACAGCTCTTCTATTCGTTCTTCAAATCGCTGGTGGGCAAAGAAGTCGTGGTCGAGTTGAAAAATGACCTGAGGTGAGAACCGGTTGCCTTTTTTTTGGCGCGTGTTAATATAAAATACAAGAAATATTAACTAAAATCAAGGAAAATTCTTGTAGCATTTGCGGCACTTTGCACTCCGTGGATCAGTATCTCAACATCAAGCTGACAGACATCAGCGTGACAGACCCGGACAAATATCCGCACATGCTGAGCGTGAAAAACTGCTTCATCCGCGGCTCCGTTGTGCGCTATGTGCAATTGCCCGGGGATGAGGTGGACACACAGCTGCTGCAGGATGCGGCACGCAAGGAGGCTGTGGTGAGCACGAGATAGGTGTCGCAGTATCTGCTACACATTCTATTTATAAGCTGAATTCCCACTTGTACGAAACTCCTCACTTTTTGACCTATATCTAAGTGAAATTCTGTTAAAGCCAAACAAATTTGATTGAAAATACGAAGTTTAAATGTTTATTCTGATTCAGTAGGCTTTCAACGAATGGTCCTTTAGCACATCTGTCATTGTTATACATATGCAATCCTCCTAGTTTATATACGGCTCATAAATTTTTGATGAGTCACTTGGGGTTCGCCTTACATTTATGCGTATGTTTTATGGTTTTGTTTTGATGAGCTACGAAATCATTATTGGTCTACGCATGAATGACATTAATCGCTGCGGATTGGATTACAAAAGCTCAACTGAAGAGGGAGAGGACAGCGAAATGCTTTTTAGGTCAAAGTCAAAGGTTGTCTCTAACAAGGACTTGGTGAGGGGGCAGAATTTATTGTTTGTTTTCGATATACTTGAATAGTCACAAATAAACACATACATCGTGTACCAAAAACGTTTAAGTGTACCTTTTTTCTAGGTGGGGAATATGGTACCTATTTTTCGTTGCAGGTTGCTGTTTGGGATGGCATGTACACACACCATTTACCTACACTGGGTTGCGGTATTGGCTAAACTAAAATTAAGCTAAGAAATTGCGGTATACTTTTAGGCGCGCATAGTCGACGTGAAAAAGGATCTAACTCAGTCATATAACATATAACAAATAACGTAACATGAGCAAGCAAATAATTCGATGCGTTCCACATCATGCCTCATCTTGATGTCAATTTTGTTGGCATGAGTATCGACCACAAGGACAAAGCCCTTCTGAAGTGTGGCTTATTATGTTTTTGACCCCTCGTTAAAACAGGTTGAGTAATCAACATGCGTTTAATTTCTGATAGCCATTGTCCAAGTACTGTCTGTGCGAAGGGCAGTGGTCGTTAAGTGCGAAATGGATTTCGTTTTTTTTTTTGTGTGCACAATTCATGCAGCGCTTTATGACATTCGAATTTAAATTCACGAGCAGTGAATTGTCAGCGCTGTATTTACATAAATACCAAGCGATGCCTATTTTGGGAATTACTTGCTGAAATATTGTGCCATCAAATGATGGACGTGTCACTCAGTTTTGCTTGGTCAGCCTGGTCGTCGTCAGCCTGTGCATAATTGTGCGCCCAGTCGACCTCCTGAAGAGTGCGAATAAAAACAAACTTTGGTCAACCAATAAAAACCCCACGACCCTCCAAACCCGCTAAACGTCCACGTTTTCCATTATTTTGATAAATTGGTTCCTATTTTTTTATTATTCTTTTTTTTCACAAGCAGCTCAACAAAAAATTCGTAGCACATATTTTAACGCATTGAAGTTGATTCCTAGTGCCGTTTTTCCAGCATTTTGTTTTGCATTCGAACACGAACTTTGAAGTTATAAAAAATATGCGTCCAGGAGCAGGAGCACTTTAGGGGAAGATGTCGCTTTCAGTCACCAACGAGGGGTAGATCTACCCTGCCCTACCTTGTCCAACAAAAAGCAAGCTGTGCTGTACAAAAAAAAGTTTAATATGCCTGATGGGATGCACTGATGGGTGTGAGCTTTAACCGGATTTACGAGGCAACGCTATGTTATAGGCATAGGCATTTTGGCCAGATTCCGAACGCTAGTTCATCAACGTGTTGAGTTGTGCGTACGACGTTAAACTTGGCTCGTAAACTTTTTATATTTTATTTTTTGTTTTGCAATTCACTCATTTGGATTTTATTAAAAAATGGAATATACAAATTTTACAGAGATTATCTTACATGTACAAATACACACATTGAAATGTATGATTCGTACATATATATATACACTTAGAACTATACACATATGTTATATGAGCATTACTTATGTACATATTCTGGAAGCTGCCGTCGAATATACAAAAATCCCCCGAGGCTTATTTTTATGTTCCAAACGTTATAGTTGTTGTTGTTGTTGTCGTTGTTGTCGCTGTTGTTGTACTTGCTGCCCTCCAATTTTATCCATAAGCTCGACAGTACATATACACATTTCTGTTTGTATACACACACACAGTAATATATATATATATATATATAGAGCAAAGTTAAGTACAAGTTTCTTAAGTATTATAGGGGATTTGCTCGTTGGCAATTAACCTGTGTAGATTACAGTTTTTTTCTTTCTCATAATCCTTGTAGCAGAGATTCGCAATAACATTGCATCTAACTATCCTGTACGTGTTTCCAAGCTAATTACATTGAGTACGTTGAAGTATTCTTCGATGTCCAGCTCCAGCTTAGTATTTACTCTACTGCACGATGTCGTTGAGTAATTATAAATTACTCATAAGCCATCGCATTAAAAGTGTTTCTTTTTCCCGCATCCTAAACGAACTCTAGTTTTTGTGGCAAATGAAATATCATTATGTTTACTTAAATATAGTTTACATGTATAGTTATGAGCAGCTTTTGCCAATTAATTGTCAACGTAATCTTATGCCAAGTGTAGATACTTGGCTAACATACTTAGCCATACGCATACTTCAAAATAAAGCCTACAATTACAAACTTAGCACACGAACAGTGTTCAAAGACTTAATTCTCAATTAGTTGCACAAATCCGATGCAAGCGCCATCTCAATGATCTGATCATCGGCAGCGCCCCACGACCCGCCCCGTCCCAGCTCCACCCCTCTGTGAACAACGTAACGATTACTGGAAGAGTTGGACTGTTGCACAGTAACTTTGAGTTTAACTTTCAATTAGGGTGTTTCTTTAGGGTGACTCTAGGAGTCCCTGTTGGCGCCGCACCAGCTCCTGGCTTAGGCAACGGCAGCAAGAGCAAGCATCTTCCTCCTCCGCCGCACGCATTGTTTCACCCACCTCTGCCTCGACCGTCACCATCGCCGCCAGCTCTGCTCACACACTCGACACCCGATCATTGTTGTCAGCCAGCAGGGCCACGCCCTTCATTAGCTTATGCCCATTGGCCACGCCCCGCTGGCTATCGTAGTTGAGCACCAGGGTCGATGGCGTCGACTGCAGCAGCAGCTGCTCCTCCTGCTCCCGCAGGCAGCCTGGCTGCCGAACAGATACTACCGAATTGTGATTGGGATGTGGACTGCGCACCGAGGAGCTCTTCCGTATTAAATGCGGGGTGGGAGCGGTGCTTACGGAGTTGCCCGCCTGCAGCAAGCCCACCTGCTCCTTGAAGGGTCCCCCGGCAGCACCATTGCTCGAGCTGCGATAGTAGCTCTGCTGGCGGAAAGTGCGCATTTGCCGAGAATTGCCACCAGCTGCATCCACTTGCGTAACGGCCGTCAACATCGAAGGTGTCCGCTGTGAATCACCTCTGTGGGTAGCCAGAAATAATGGATAAGGGATAACGGGTAAAGGAAGTAGCAACGCTACTACTTACCTGTTCAGGCTGTATGCGTTGTTGTTGCCACCACCGGTTCCCGATTTGTTGCCCTTACCAGGACAAAGATGAAAAGCGCCGTAGATGAGCGGATTAACCAAGCTGTTAGACATTCCAAAGAAAAAGATGGCATCCTGTAAGTCATCGCCCAGCTGCAAGCAAAAAACAGTTAGGCTCAAATTAATTTCCGGCGTTTCAATATATTTCAACCGTAGTCCGTAGAGTGTTGAAGCATGCGGTTGCTTGTCCACCTTTTTTGACTTTCATTATTTAGTCACAGTCGTAATCCAAGACGCAACACGCATTTCCGGGCTAACATAACCAAGTCAACAATCCGGCTGGCCATTAATTAAAAGTTGGCCATAAAAAATAATTCTGCCACACACAAAACGGGTCACACGAAAAAGTGTGTAAAAAACAGTGTGCAATAAAAGAGATTTTAAGGAACAGCTGTCGAGTGAATCAATTCTGAGGCATCAGTCCCTTTTTTTTGTGTATTCTGCAGTAAATGCTCATTTTGCTTTCAGCTGCCACAAGCTGTAATATAAAACATGTCAAACGAAAGCACAAAAAGATCCCTTCAACTCTTTCGCTCCTTCCCCACGCCTCTGAGAAATCGACTGCTGATTGATGGCCCTTCCAAATGACTGAATTGCTTCAACACCATTTGTTATAGACAAATAATTTGTGCAGGGTACATCTCGCATTAGCTGTACATAATATATGTGGAAATAAGGTATACTTACTAACTACAAATTATTCGAAGAATGCCAAATGCCATACCACAGAATTCATTAATTTAGCAAATTACATTTTTCTGCTTATACTTTATGTTGATTTTGCATAAGAGTTTTTGGTTTTGCTTTTCTTTTTGCTTTACAAAAACAGACGGAACAGGAAGCACTGCCAAAAAGCTACAAGAATAACAATCCTTTCAAATGGTCAACATTGTTCCAGAGGAGTGACCCAGCAAACCCATTCCACAGATGCGCATACTTGCCCTTTTATCTGGATTCCAGAACATGAAGATAATCATCATTACATAGTATGGTGTCCAGCAAATGAGGAAGGCGATAATGATCACAACTGATATGCGCAATGATTTCATTTTGGCCTTGTGTATTAAACGTTGACGGTTCGTCTGTGTTGGTAGATGCTTCGTCGAGTAGTTGGCTAATTTTGAACCCTGAAACATTTTTTCACTGCCTGCAAAGAAGGACAAAGATAAAGAACATAAAAAAAAAAAATAAGAAAATACCAAGCAAATTTAACATAGTTATCTCGATACTTATGAGCAAGGCTCATGTGTGTCCAATTGTGGACATCCACTTACTTGAAATTGTTCGGAATGTTGACATGTAGGTGCCTGGAAAATATTTAAATTTGTTACGTGACATTAGCATCTAGATGGACACTGTTAATTAATGTATGCAAATATATATTTACCGAATAGAATACATAGCGGCAGCAAAAAGGTAAAGACGAGTGTAAATGTGGCATACATCTGCTCCTGCCAGTCAGCCGTATAGAATCCGTGAGTCACACACTGATAGAACTCCTCGACAAAGGGACCGCGTGCCACATGGAAAATGAAGAACTGCGGGTTGCCATTTTTCGATTTCCATTTGACATCCACGCGGAAGGCAGTGAAAGAAATCGTGAAAAAGATGACACAAGCGTTTGATTAAAATACGCTCGTCCAAAAGTACAAACATCCATGAAAGATTTTGATTGAATACTTTTATCAGCATCTCTGAATGCGCCATAAAATGAGGGACATAATGGGGTGTTTGCTGTGTGGGGTGTTAAATGTGTGTTTGCTGTGTGATTGCTGTCTGTAAGATGTTCTTTTCGCCTAAAATTGATGCGAGCAAGAAATTTAAGCATCCTTCAATTTGGGCTCCTTCTAGGCCTTCTACAATTTCGCATGTTGTTGACCACAGTTTTGATGGATCATCATTTTGTAGCCTGTCGGCAATTATTCATTCACCTTCTAAACGTAACTGGAAGCATTTGCCATATACGTATTATATGATGATTTAATCGGGAGAGAGGTTTATTGATTCTGAGAATTCTAATGGACGTTTAATATTTGTTATTTTTTTATTACTTATTTCTTTATTTTATTTTATATATAAATATTTTTTTTAAATTTTAATTTCCAATTTAATATCATAAATGTATTTTTTTAATATGGAAACTGAGCTTATCGCAGCGTTGCAGCTTGACACTCCTCTTTATGTACAAAATTTGTGTTCAAGCAGTGCTTGTTGTCAACGTCTCAAGCTACACTAGGTTAATTTCAATCTCAGACGTAATAAAATTCCCAATGCGTCGATAAATCTAGCTGAAGTTCCGGCCAAGGCGACAAGGCTACAAGGCTGCCAGGCTCCCTCCCGGAAACATTTGTGATTATAACTAATGCATTAAGAGTCTTTTCATTTGCACATTTTATGGTTTCCGAGAGCTTGACTTGCCCTGAACTGATGGCCATTTCGACAGCTGTCGCGAGTGGGAAGGTCGCCTAAACTGCCAAAGTAGTAAAACTAAAACACTAAGCCGACCATGGGTGGAAATCGGTATTAAGGCTGATTTTTATTAATTTCACACATTAATAACTTCCAAACAATTGAACGACACGATTTTTCTCAAATAAGAATAATGTTGACAGGAACAAGACACATAAAATACTATCCTATCTAACAAAATAAACTACAGTGTACAGCCATATCGATTGGTTTCTTGAATTGTATAAGTATATATTAACTGTAAGCGGCTAAAAGTCTTCTTTTTTTTTTTGGTCTGTTTAGGAATTTTTGTTTGTGTCTTTTCTCCAAACCATTGAGGTAAAAGAACTTCACGCGCTTTACAAATATCCGCTCAAATACAAAGGAATGTATAAATATATATTGCCGGTATAAAATAAAATACTGTAGAGTGTCTCTTTAAGATTCAAACAAAAGAAAAAGCCTCAACTCCAAAGGAAGAACGAAGAAGAAATACTGCTGCATAGTGTAATAAAAGACGAAATACCCATGAACAATAAAGTGAAAAAGTAGCACACACATGCAGACTTATTATTGCACAGCTGTCTGCAGGGCGGGGATCAACATTTGTTGTTTATTGCCTGCCGAAGTAAATTTTCATTTTGTTTTATTATTTGAGACGCGTGAAAATGGAGAAGTATCCACATATTGAATTTGATATGATGCCTATTGATTACTGACGTGAGTTCTCTTTTCAGTAACGGGGCAAACGTGGTAGTGAATCCGTATGTGGTGCTGGCAAACATTGTGGCATGAACTGTTCAAGTTATGCAGAGAGACGCAGTGTCAAGTGTCACGTTATAATGCCGCATGAGTTTTATGTGTCATATTCGATAAGACCGAAATGAAAAAAGTATCCTCTTGTGGCCACCCAAACAGCTAACATTAAATTGCTAGCAACATTGCGCTGACTAACACCAAGTAAAAGTGTCATTAAAAAAACTGTCATAATTGCTGAGTGCGTTTAATTGGGTGTGTGTGTGTTGAGTGAGTGCGAGTGGTAATTAAGGTATGTTAGTGTTACAGTATTAAGTACCACAGTACTTAAGTTGCTGTTGCCACCTTTTAAAAACGGTCTCACTTCTGTTAAATATATTATTATGTATATACGTATAAAGGCGTGTATAGTCAGCTAGCATCAACATAATCTGTGAGCCAGAAATATACAAAATTTAATTATTCCTAATGTTCCTTGTCACATTTAATAATTTACGTCTACAAACAGTGTCTAATTATATGCAAACATTATCCGGCTACTCTCGGCGATATAATATATACACAGAATAATATAGTGTGTGCACCTCGACAAATTTCAGACAAGATAATTAAATTTGTTAATGTATACAAAAAAAATAATAGCATATTTTTCAGCGCTGCAGCTGTGTTGAACTTTGCTTCATGCGATTTATCATGGATATGCTAATTGCTTAAGTAAACAGCATGAACTATCAATGTGCAAACAGGTCCATCTTTTTGAGTAATTCGCGAAATGACATTCAATGGAATATTTCCCAATATATGACACAGAGGACATAGAAGAACATAGAAGAACTATCTGTAATCAGGTAACGAGTTCGTTAAAATGCAACACAATTTGAACGATTTAATTTTCTTTTATTTCCATTGGGGATGGGTGTGATCGAGGGAGGAAGAACGCTGATAGCGTTTCAATTGAATATTTTTAGTTTCCTTATCCATTAGGTAAATGTATTCATGAAATATTAACAATGAACATCAGATAGCCAATGAGCCTATGAATTTCATATTAGATTGTGCTTTTCCTAATTTATTATTCGGAATTCATTATGGTATATATGTATATACTAAACAAACAACTTGCATGGCTCAAATGAATACTAACTAATCCGTGGATCGCAATAAATTTTGCAGAATCAAAGACTATTAAAATGCCAGTTGTGTCATAAATCAGATGGGCAACTCAATTAGATATGCCATCGAGCGACACAAAGGCATGCCACATAAATAATGCAATAAAAGTGTGAAAATAAAGGATTGCAAAAACAAACCCTACAAAAAATGTAAAAAAAAATTCGATTGTATTTGTTTAGCTTGTTCTTTTCCTGTGTTTATGTCATTAAGGATGAGGGAAGGCAAAGGGATTCACGTGGATAAGCAGCCAGAGAACGTTTTCGCTGTCTGAAGGCTGTCAGTAAAATAAATATTTCATTTTTGTCCTTTACAGCTTTCCAGTCAGATCCCGGACATTACTTTTCTCAACCCTTAAAGCCGACACACATGATCAGAAAAGCCGTGCAGTTAAGCTCTCAGCATGTGGACTGTGCACACGTGTGTGCTGAGTGTGCCACGGCAGCAGTAGGAGAAAGGATACCCAGCGCAACGTTTAGCGAACTCTTTATGCAGCAGGCAATCACTTTTAATGCCAGCGCACGCAATGACGCCTTCTTTAAGACTATTTACGCGTGGGCTCGAGGGCGTATGAGTGCCATAAAGCAAACATACCATATTACTTCAACTGTGGCACGCAACAGCAAAAGCTTCAGCCTACGGGCTGAGAGACCTGCTGTTTTCTTGCGCTTGACTTAATGGCGGGGCGACAAATTGCTGCATAATAATATTGGAAGCGGTGGCCTGAACAGCAAAATAAAACACACTCAGCAAAATTATTGAATACAATAATAAAAATTGCCCCAAGTTTACATTTTGTACATTGGCAGGAACAGTAACGGTTATGAGTTATATTTCAACTTTGTGTATTTTTCTGATACTTTTGCATCACTACAAATCTTCCATAACTTTGATATGCAATCGATAACATTGTAATGTTACATTTTTGCTGAGTGTATGCACAATGTATACAAATTCAATTTGAATTGATTGGGATGCGGATTTAAACTTGGCACTCAGGGACGAGCTACCAAAGCCAAATGCCAAAATGGGCGTAACTTACCTGGGGCAGGCTGAGCACCAGCGAGAGTATGTAGGTGCCACCAAGCAATCGATGGCACCTCTTGGCCATATTGAGCGACTTCATAGGATATTTGACTGCAATCCAACGGTCGACGCCGATAAGAACCAGCACGTAAGTAGATAGATAGAGGCTGAACATTTGGAAGAGCTTCACCAGCTTGCAAGTGAGCTCATTAGCGAGCCACTGGACCGTATAGCACCAGGCAGCCTCGCCAATTAGGCAGAAGCCGGTAACCAGAACATCGGCGATAGACAAGTGAAACATCAGAGAGTAAATGGCGCTCCAGGTGTGTCGGGAATTGCGTCGCGTAATACGTGTCTTGTATATATTCCAGATGGTCAGCAGATTACCCAGCAACGAGAACAGCGCCATCACAGCAAGCACATAAACCTTCAGCAATCCAGAGCGGGACAACTGAGGTGCATGGTCCATGACATGCTCGGGCACTTGTTCGGCCACTGGCGATGAATCATGCAGGGTGTTGATGTGACCAAGCGTTGAGCTATTCAGGCGTGAGTCTGTCATAATGGCATAGGCTGCCTCATGACCTCTGGGTGTAGACACTGTGTTCGTGTTGGTGGCTTCTGTGGCCATTGCAAAACCTGCATCCAGTATGTTGAGCGTATAGTTGGCAATGTTGGGGGCCACTTCCGCAGCAGCTGCGACAAAGAGCCGGGTAAAATTTGCCATTGTTGACCAGTTGGTTTCCGTGTCATTGCTGGCGTTGTCTAGCAAAACAGAAGCGTTGCCAACAGGAAACCGGCCATGTGCAGTATCCTCAAAGTCTTCCATTGTCTGTTTTAAACAAATTTGTGTTTTCTATAGAATATTTTGATTGGCTTAGGAGAAATGGCTCTGGTATCCACGTTAACCAGTTTGCATGTTGGTTCCGTTTTTAATATCTTAATTCGAGTAGTTTCGAGCTATGGTAATTAGAGTTTATTGCAGTTGTGTTACTGAGTAGCCATTTTAGTTTTTGTTGCCAACAAATCCGCTTTGCACTGTAAATTCAAAAGTTTTAGTTTACTGAATGTTTCAATTATAATTGCAAATGAAATGGTTACTACATCTGTAAATATTTTAGTACACTTAACACAAAAACGGAAATGGTATTTGCCCAAAATAAAACCAAGGGTTTTTACCACTACTCAGAATGCAATGTATTTAAATTTGCACTCTCAAATAAGCCTTTCATTAGAATTCAAGGAATTTCATTTGATTTTAATTTGAATTTAGGTATTTCACTTTTGTGTGTTAGTGCAATGGCTTAAATATTGTGTGAAATGAGTAGATGTGATGATTTTCATATTGCATTCATCAGTTCATTTATCTGCATTAAGAGAACCTGTTTTCTCATTTTACTTATTCTTTTTTTTCAAATAAATTAAATGTACAACGGTTTTCCATCAGCTTGTCGAATAACTGGCATAAAAGCTGCCCGCCTTTAATACTTCAAAGGTAAATGCAAATTATGCCCCACACCATGATCATAGCATCAATTTGCACATTATAATACAGGCCCACTTTCCAAGCAATTTAATGCCAATGCATTGAATATAAGTATGCAGTATTGCAGCATCGATGCTTTCGACATTGACCTTTATCACACAATTACACAAGCTTAATTACAAAGCTGTTAATTTAGTAAAAGTGCTGGCAAGTTACAGCCACTGCCAAATGCTGGCCAGTAGTGATTAACTGACAGCCACCGGGAAATACAACGTAAAGCGCACAAATTAGCTTTTATAGATTATACATACAACAGCAGCGACGGCGACAGAGAAGACACTGGACAGCTTTGCAACTTTGCGCTCATTTGCGACGAGTCGATTTGCAGTGCAAGTTCAAAGTAAATTTCCGTAACATTTCATTTTCCAAATTAATTTATGAACATAAATTAATTCGAATGCTTGGCCAAGCTTGTTGTTTCAACAGTGGCCTGCCAACGAAAAAGAAAACACGCCGACACACAAAATAGCAGCAAAGTCAATACTCAATTACTTAAATTTTCATTTGTCTGTTTGAAGAATAAAATATACGTCACCTGTGCACCCAAAGTGCATTGAGCAATTTTATCGTTGAAATGTAATCAAAGTTAAATCAACTCAAGTCAATTTGATCAGCTTATGATATTTTTGCTAACGTTCTTAATCTGTTATTTCTTTGTAATTGGTTGAACTCGGTTAACCGTTAATTACAAGATAATAATGGTTGTATTGATGCATTGCTGAATTGCTTAATTGACATTTAATCGCAGTTGACGCTAACTATCTTACATACATTTTGATAACTATATGCTAACACACACACACACACACACACACACACACACACACACACACACACATTATGCAAAACATTGCCTTGATTATCACTGTGAGCACGTTTCCGTATGGGAAAAGTTTCAAATTCCTTGTGGGTGCTTAATCATCATGATTAATATACAAATGCATATTTGATTGATGGAAACAGTTGGGGCAACATGTGACCACTTCCAAAATGAAACAGTCTTGCGTGCCAAGGGGCATCTTATAAAAGGTTGAGTCCCATATGCATCACAGAATAAAGCGTCAACAAAATGCCTGCTGTGGATTGATTTCCATATATCGTGTCAATAATTTAAAGCGTGCATAACAGAAACTGTTGAGAAACTTATTCTTATGTTTCCAGTCTAGACTGGCATTCTTCGCCTTGAACGCGTTTGAGTCTGTAAGCCGATTTATTGCCAGGGTACTGAACACTAAAAGAACTTAAATCATTAAAAGAAATAAAAAGAAAAATCGACTTATAGATACCCTGTTAGCTGTTTCAACGTACCTAGCTAGAGAAAGATGCTGAACAGAAATGTATATACCTTGAGGCATTGTTTGTATACCCTTTATCCACATAGTCAAGGATGTCACAAGCATCATTAATTAGGAAGAAAGCACATCAGTTGTCACAAAAAAGTCACGTGAGTCAGCAAGTCCTTTGGAATGACGCTGACACACAGTGCGTATGCGCAACTTATTGATGTCCAATGGTTTGGTTATAATTAAAGCGAGGGTTTGCTTTGTTGCTTGCACGAGCCAAGACTAAACCACTTCAATGTGAAAGAGGCCAATTGTGAAAGTTTTTGCAGATTGCGCCGTTGCCTGTTGAAATTGTCATTGCCAATGGTAATGGTTGAGCCTCAGGACATTTGAAATGATACTTGCGGTCCATTCTAACACTGTTTGTCCTTTAATCAAAGCTTCACCAAAGTTTTGTTTCAAACAGAAATATTTCCAGCATTGTCAGCTAATTTATTTTCGCCAGTATAACGCAAAAGTTGGGAAACTATTGTAGATAACTGACAGATGAAGATTGCATCGGAAGGCAACAAAATTAAAGTAAATTTGCCGAGTTAACTATTTTGTATCGCAGAGTAAGCAACTATTATTATATTAGATACACTTATATTATATTATATACACTATAGTTGTGATTATCTATAAATTTGAAGAATCTTTGTTCACTCTGTTCCATAACAACGCTGTTAATTATAAAAAAAATCGGCTGCAGATATATTCAGTTTATATATATATATATATATCAAAGCGAAAGAAAATTAATATATATAGGATTAATTAGATAATTAATTGATTCAGCAGACAGAGGCGACAGTGACCAGGGAGTACATATATAATAATTATATATATATATATATATGATATACATGATATACATTATATGCACATATATATTTATGTATCTACATACATTTATATATACGAATGTACTTGTGAGTACAGTCCACAACGCTTCGCCTAGGATTTTCTGAACTGTTCTTATTTAGGTGGGAAAAAAAAACTTTTCGCATTAACTGAGATTGAATTAATTTGTAATAGTCTTTGTTCTTAATGTTAGTGGGGTTCCTTTTCTAATTGGAACAAGAGTTCGTAAAAGTTCAAAGCATCTAGGACAGGCAAAACTGATGACTTGTTTTTGTTCCGCTATTCAAACTCCAACGAATAGACACACTAAAAAAAATTATGAAAGACTCAATTTCTTCTTCTTTTCATTTTCATTTTGAACACAAAAGCTGTCCATTTATTTGCTGTAGCTCTTGGATGATAAGTTCTGTTGTACATCGCATTTTGACTTTGTCTAACTAAGTCAGAGCTTTGGGATATTTACACAGTTGTCCCGCTTCGCACACACTTTCCAAACAAAAAGAATCGCTCACACACTTACACAAATACTACACACATACAGAGACCATATACACGAGTTTGAAAATATTACCGATGTTAGATCAAGTTGGAAGCCATAAACAACGTGTGTTTTCAATTTAAATATTAGCATGTCACAATATATTTATCTTTTGACAGTGAGCATTTATCCGTTGTAGAATTTTTGTTCTATGAGTATCAACATTGTTCAGTTCTCTGTGTTTTTGAAATATTTGCACAATTTGTTTTGGCAAATTTCGTTTTGCGTTTCAAATGCGAATCCATTTTGAGCATTTAATTCTTTCAGAATTTGCCAATTACTGCAAACAATTGCAACCGCAAAGCACACACGCTTAACACAGACACACACAACTGTTTTGTATTTCAACTATGGAATATAGTAAAACTTTTAAGCAACTTGCCTTTAAATATATTTCTTCAGGTCACTCTAAACTGAATATTGTGATATTTACGGTTTTAACTAATTGAGTTAATGCACTTTTAATATTCATCAAACTCGAACGGAAAACGGATTATCCTTTTCCAATTAATTTCATATTTCACTTTATGTAATCACAAAACTTTTACAATATCGGGAGGATTATTATAAGTCTTTAAGAGTTATAAACTAACTTTTAATATTCAACAACTGTTTCGTGGAACAATTGCCACACTTAAGAATCGAAAAGAGAACTCCTTCGCGCACAACTTTCTTATTGATGACCTTCACTGCTTCTTTATTGGCACTGTATTAAATCTTATCTTATCACTTTGCTCGTTTCTGTTGCCAAATTTGAGTGGCATGAACTCGTCGCGCTGCTTACTGCTGCATATCACTGAGCCAACAACCGGCAACCGCTATGTCCCATTGAGTACTGGCAACCGACTGACGTTTTGTTCCGTTCACTTCAGTTGTTCGCGGCGAACTGTTCGCACTTCGAGCGAGACTCGTTTGACATTCGAACTTGCTTGCATTCGTACAAGTCGCAAACAGTTTCATTCATAAAATCTCAGCTACAGCAGCAGGAGCAACGCATCTGACACGCAACATGTTTGAAGTCTGCTTCGTTGTTTTGGCGCGAACACAAAATCTTTGCTGCCGAAGGGCAATGCTCGATAGACATAACTCATACGCAACGTAAGCCCTCAGTATCAATAACGAACTTCCTGCGAGACAAAAATTATAGTACGTGGCCCTCCATTTCAAACTGTCTATAAGCACCAGTACGTGGTAGGTGACAATGCCTCCCTTTATGTATATCATACAAGACTTAAGCAGCAAGCGGCTGTCAATAGCAAACAAACTATTTCACTGTTTAACGAGTATTTGCCAAGCGACGTGTTTGCTTTTTTGGTCGACCATATTCTCGTTAGCTAATTAAAGCGTCGTGCAGACAATTTTCTGTTTACCATGCGAACGCGAATCCAAATTAATTAACTAAATCACATTCTGCCATAACAACCACAGGCGTAATTCTGTAAAGTTTAAACAAGTTTCAATATTTTCATTTCACCTGCTGATGGAAAACTCATCGAGAGAGTTCGGCACGTGCCACTTGAATAAGATTGACTTCTTTCACCATTATTCCTATTTTAAGAATTTCTGAAGCTGAAGCTAAACCTACTTTTTGATTATAATTTGTCAGCTAAAGTCATTAAAGATAAAAATTATTAATTTATAGTTCTCAGAATTATTAACTTAATAGATTTATCACAAAGAGCAATGCATTCTTAACAACGATGAAAATTATTTTCCTATTAAGATTCCAATGTCAGATATTTACTTTTCGTTATGTTACAGTACTCTA